CAAACCTACACGGTGGCAGGCAACCAGATGCATCCCGCACCTATCGTGCGAGACCTCTGGGTACTCTCAAGCTACGATCTAAAGTCCATGGAAAACACCAATAAGCTTTACTGAAACAGACTTCGCATGCTTTGGGCTCTCAGGCGCAGCTTAAGCACTTGGTCCGAAGAGGTTGTCTCCCACATCATCGTTTCAATAATACGACCAATGCTACAGTAAAATCTCCCGAATCTTGTCATATCCCCGGGGCGAGGTAGAAAAGCTTGAGCGGGTGCAGCATGTAGCCACCAGACTGATTTCCAACTTACGAAGAATGCCAAATGAAGACCGATGTAAGAAAATAGGGCTGTACACCCTAGCATATTGTCGGCTGAGGGTTGACTTAATCATGACGCACCGGGTAATACATAAGAGTGATTACCCCATGTTCAGAAAACTGCTTCATCTAAGCACACCAAGCGGCACGCGAGGACACGGATACAAACTTATCGTACCGCAGTTAAAGCGGGTAGCTCACCAACTCTGTTTCGAACGAAGAGTGGTGAATACCTGGAACAACCTGCCGCAGCCGGTAATAGAAGCGAATTCAGTGGCCAAATTTAAAATGCTTCTAGACAAACATTTCGCAGAGGCAAAATATAAAGAGCGGAACGATAACAAATACGTTGATGTCCCAGAGCGACATTTGATGCACTACAAGAAGTAAGCTCTCCTCGATGCTTCTAAACATTCTCCGTATCATCATCATCATCATCATCATCATCATCATCATCATCATCATCATCATCATCATCATCATCATCATCATCATCATCATCATCATCATCATCATCATCATCATCATCATCATCATCATCATCATCATCATCATCATCATCATCATCATCATCATCATCATCATCATCATCATCATCATCATCATCATCATCATCATCATCATCATCATCATCATCATCATCATCATCATCATCATCATCATCATCATCATCATCATCATCATCATCATCATCATCATCATCATCATCATCATCATCATCATCATCATCATCATCATCATCAGCATCATCATCATCATCATCATCATCATCATCATCATCATCATCAGGAGTGTCTTTCTGAAATGCAGACAGAAAAGTTGTCGTCAGAGCAACGATTTAAATTCAACCACGCGCCGAACTAGTTTCGATCACTCTTTACACTGCACCCCTTCTATATAGGCAACGTCCCCGTTGCCACACCAAAGCCCCCTTGAGCGGGTACTTCAACTTCGGTGGCTACTTCTATCGGTGGCTCATTGTGATGTTCCTCATCCGAATGCTCAGATTCGATATGGAAAGGTTTAAGCCGATTAAAGTGTACGACCATGGACGGCCCAACGGCGTTCTTTGGGTCCCTAACCACACAAGTCAGATCAGAAATTATTCGGTCTACCACGTAGGGGCCAGCCCACTCACGATGCAGTTTCGCTGGTATTCCGGATACCGGTGCCTGATGCAAATATACGAGGTCGCCTGCTTTCAACGGGACACCGAAGACCTTCTTGTCGTAGTATTCCTTCTGTCGCCGTTGAGCGTTCGCCAAATGGATGCGTGCCGCTTCTTGTGTGCGTCGAACGGAGTCGAGGAGTTTGCTGACATATTCAACAACCGACGGGTATACCTGTTGTGATCTCGGTAATCGGACATCCGAGGGCAACCGAACTTCTCTACCCGTCCACATAAACGACGGCGTTTGTCCGGTAGAAGAGTGGACCGTACTGCGATAGGCCAATAAGCATTTAGGCAATAACGTATCCCACTTGTAAATGTTCTGGTCCACGAACGCCTTCAAGAGTGACTTCAACGACCGATTCGTACGTTCAACTTGTCCGTTCCCTTGTGGATGGTAGGCCGTCGTTCGCGTTTTATCAATACCGAGTACTCTGCACATCTCCTGGACCAGTGAGCTTTCGAAACATGATCCCCTATCGGAATGCAATTGCCCAGGCGCTCCCCATTGGCAAACCCAGTGGTTAATCATCGCTGTTGCCACAGTGAGAGTATCAGCCTGTGTGATTGGCACGGCTTCGCACCATTTGGTGAAGTAGTCTACCATGACTAGAATGTAGCGATTCCCTCTCGGCGTTTCCGGTAGTGGACCAACAAGGTCTACTCCAACTATTTCATTCGGGTAACCTGCTGTCATGGATTGTAATGGTGCCCTATGAGCAATAGGCGGATTTTTGAACGTCGCGCATCTTTCGCAAGTTTGGCAGAAGTTGACAATGTCTCTTCGTTGGTGCGTCCACCAAAATCGTTGACGCGCCGCCGATTCGAGTTTATTGATTCCAGCGTGTCCCAGCTGTTGCTGCAGTTCCGACAGCACTTCGGTAACTAACGCCTGGGGAACAACAATCCTCCTCAGGTACGTGGGGCCGAAATCGAAGACCAACACACCCTCTTCGATGGCGAGTTTATCCCACATCGCCCACAAGCACCGAGCTTCGTAGCTTTTCCCTTCCATTTATTTCGGAGCTGGTTTGTCCCTTCCCGAGCGCCGCGCATGGTAGATGAGTGATATGTCGGGGTCCGAAGCTTGTGCCTCTTGCCAACGACCATACTCGGCTTTCTGTAGTTGCTATTTGAAACCGCGGCCACACAGCACATCAACCAACCGACACGCATTACAGCGCGCGCAACTCCATCATGCTTAGACCTGCTGTTGACTAGCTGTGAGCAGCGTATACATAACATTCAAGTCTTAGAACCTCTGGGAGCGAGTGACCACTCAGTGATCATAGGCAGTTTAGAATTACCGCTACCAAATCCTCTCCCACTAGAGTCAGCCTTCAACTATTGGAAGACGGACTTTAATGGCCTCATTCGAGCAGCGAGCCAGATAGACTGGTCTTTACCACAGGATTCATCTATTGAAACCTGTTGGGCTATCATTAAAGAGGGAGTGAAATCGTTGTGCGCCCGATTTGTGCCCCTCAAATTTCGGAAAGTTGGGCCAGTCAAACCACATTGGTTTGACAAAGAGTACAACAAAATGGCCCGACGGCGACGTAGACTATGGAACAAATTCGTGTTATCTGGCTCTGATGAGGACTACAATGCGTACAAGGTACAGCGAAATCGCTGCAACATCGCGAAAACAAGAAAACGCAGAAGCTTCGAAGAGGAGCTTGCAACTGCCGCAAAAACTGCTCCCAAGAGGATCTTCGCATATGTGAAGCGGCGCCTAAGGCCTATAGCTAATATCCCAGTGTTAGAAGGCTCAGAAGGACAGCCTCTAACCTCAAGTACAGATCGTGCGTCAGCATTGGCAACGCACTTTGCCTCCGTATTCGCAAGTGATCAGGTGTCTGTAATGAGTTCGACGAGCACCGCTCCAGCCGAACTTAACAGCCTGGACTGCAATATTGAGGATGTGCGCAAGCTTCTAGCAAATCTTGACGGGACGAAACCTGCTGGGCCAGATGGTATACACCCACTAATCCTCAAGTCATAATCGACCATAATTGCACCTTCTGTAGCTGAACTGTTTAACAGGTCACTATCCACTGGTCTACTACCGGACGACTGGAAATGCTCAGTCGTAAAGCCTATCCCGAAAGGTGGTAACCCAAGCAAAGTGGATAACTACCGGCCGATCTGCCTGACGGCAGTTTTGGCAAAGACGCTCGAGAGGATTGTGAAGAAGAGCCTTCTGCTACTTCTCGAGTAGAAAAACATGTTAACCTCCGCACAGCATGGTTTCCTGAAAGGTCGTTCATGCATCACTAACCTACTGTTGACAAGGCACAAATGGTTACAAGCGCTGAACAAAGGCATATCGGTTGACGTCATTTACATTGACTTCAGTAAGGCTTTTGACAAGGTTAACCATGCAGTGCTCCTTGACAGACTGAGGATGTGCGATGTTGGTGGTTCGCTGCACAAATGGATCAGCAATTCCCTTATTGACCGAAAGTGGAGAGTCCAGGTGGACAACCATCAAACTGAGTGGTATCCATCGAGCAGCGGCGTACCCCAAGGCACTGTACTGGGACCGATATTATTTCTAATCCATATAAACGATGTGCCTCAGCTACTACAATCACATTGTGCTTTGTTCGCAGATGACTTGAAAGTGTGGAGAGTAATCCGCACACTCAATGATTGCGATTTACTTCAGCAGGATCTCGACCGCCTCTCAACATGGTCTGCAGAGGTTAACCTTCCGATCAACCCTGCCAAGTCGCAATTCATGAGGTTGGGTAAGTGTGATCACGGCCGAACGTACACAGTGGCTGGACAACCGTTGCATCCCGCTCCTTTCGTGCGCGACCTCGGTGTACTCTCACGCTGCGACCTAAAGTCCATTGACAACACGAATAGGCTGTACCAAAACAGCCTTCAGATGCTTTGGGCTCTCAGGCGCAGCTTTAGCACTTGGTCCGAAGAGATTGCCACTCGCCTCTTCGTCTCGATAATACGACCAATGCTAGAGTACGGCACTCCCGCATACTGTCCCATCACCCGGGGCGAAGTAGAAAAGCTTGAGCGGGTGCAGCATGTAGCCACTAGGCTGATTCCCAACTTACGAGGTATGCCATAAGAAGACCGATGTAAGAAACTAGGGTTATACACCCTATCTTATCGTCGGCTGAGGGTTGACCTCATCATGACGCACCGGATATTACATCTGGGTGATTACCCCATGTTGAGACAACTACTTCATCTGCGCACACCAAGCTGCACGCGAGGACACCGGTATAAACTTATCGTCCCGGATTTGAGGCGGGTCGCCCATCAACTCTGTTTCGAACGAAGAGTGGTGAATGTCTGGAACGACCTGCCTCAGCATATAGTAGAAGCGAACACAGTGGCAAAATTCAAGATGCTACTAGACAAACAATTTGCAGAGGCAAAGTACAAAGAGCGAAACGATAAATAAAATGTTCATGTCCGAAAACGACAAATGATGCAGCTACACAGAGCAACCTCTACTCGCTGCTTCGCATCAGTTCTCAGTTCTCAGTTCTCATCATCATCATCATCATCATCATCATCATCATCATCATCATCATCATCATCATCATCATCATCATCATCATCATCATCATCATCATCATCATCATCATCATCATCATCATCATCATCATCATCATCATCATCATCATCATCATCATCATCATCATCATCATCATCATCATCATCATCATCATCATCATCATCATCATCATCATCATCATCATCATCATCATCATCATCATCATCATCATCATCATCATCATCATCATCATCATCATCATCATCATCATCATCATCATCATCATCATCATCATCATCATCATCATCATCATCATCATCATCATCATCATCATCATCATCATCATCATCATCATCATCATCATCATCATCATCATCATCATCATCATCATCATCATCATCATCATCATCATCATCATCATCATCATCATCATCATCATCATCATCATCATCATCATCATCATCATCATCATCATCATCATCATCATCATCATCATCATCATCATCATCATCATCATCATCATCATCATCATCATCATCATCATCATCATCATCATCATCATCATCATCATCATCATCATCATCATCATCATCATCATCATCATCATCATCATCATCATCATCATCATCATCATGGCCTACT